AGCGGAGCCTTGACTTCTGCCAAAGGAATGATCAAACTCAAAGTTGAGTCAGGATCAGCACCCTATAAGGTGAAGATGAACTCCGAGTTCGTGGTATTCGACACTCCCTCCCCTTATGATGCTGTGATGGGACAGCCCCTACTCTTCTGCCTGAGAGCGGCAGTTTCCCTATTCACTATTCTATCAAATTTTCCACACCCCATGGTGTAGGTAAAGTCAAGGAAAACAGGGAGCTCTTCGAAAGATGTCAATGGAAAGCCTGTACCAGCCATCAACGCACCCCCCCGAGAGTGCATATGGCGAACATATGGGAATCCGAACTCATTCCACTAGACCCGGTACTAGGATCGAAGGTGGAGAACCCGTCGAAGAACTAGAAGGAGTTCAAGTCTATGCTAAGGACCCAACAAAGGAGCTCAAAGTCAGGCGCAAGCTACAACCCTCCACCTGAAGCGAGATTGTGGCCTTCCTTAGACAAAACCTTGATGTCTTCGCCTAGAATCACGGGGACATGAGAGGAATAGATCTTAATATCGCATGCCACAAATTATAGGTAGATCCTTCAGTTCGGACAAAGCAACAAAAACAACGATCTCTAAACCCTGAAAGATATGAAACACTCAACAAGGAGGTGCAAAAACTGTTGCACAATGGTTTCCTCTGTGAGGTAAAATACCCGAAGTGGGTCCCAAATTCGGTCCTTGTGAAAAAACACGATGGAGACTTCACCGATCTTAACAAAGCATGCCTCAAATATAGTTTTCCTTTGCCAAGAATAAATCAAATGGTGGACGCCACTGCCGGACACAAACTACTCAGCTTCATGGACGCGTATTTTGGATATAACCAGATCAAGAACATACCTCGTTTGTAACTGACCGAGGTCTTTACTGCTACAAGTAATGCCATTTGGTCTAAAAACGCTGGCACCACCTACCAACAACTTGTGAATTCCATGTTTTCCCAGCAGATCGAAAAAACAACGGAAGTGTATGTTGATGATATGCTGGTCAAAAGCATTAATGCCAAGGACCACTATCAGCACTTGATCGAGATGTTTGATATATTGAGGAAGTATGGAATGAAGTTGAACCCAAGGAAATGTGCTTTCGGGGTCAGCTCTGGAAGGTTCCTAGGTTACATTGTAAACAATCGAGGAATCGAGACAAATCCTGAAAAAATACAAGTTGTCATCCAAATGAAGCCTCCAACCAAACCCAGAGAGGTACAAAGTTTAACAGGAAGGGTTGCCGCCCTCAGTCGGTTTGTCTCCAAGTCTACGGACCGTTGCAAACCCTTCTTTGACACATTACGAGGATGAAAAAAGTTCGAATGGGCCAAAAAATGCCAGGATGTCTTTAACGAGCTAAAGAGACAACTAGCTTAGCCTCTGCTGCTTTCAAAACCTAAGGCGGGCGAGATCCTGAAGCTTTATTTATCTGTTTCAGAGCATGTCATTAGTGTCGTTCTAACCTGAGAAGAAAACGGCGTTCAACACCCGGTCTATTACGTAAGTAAAGCGCTTCACGAAGTCGACCTCAATATTCCCCTGTAGAGAAACTGGCATTCACTCTGCTAATGGCAACGTGAAAACTGATGCCATATTTCTTGGAACACCCCATTGAGATCCACACCAACTCTCCATTGAGGCAAACACTGCAAAGACCCGACTTCAGGTTAAACGGTAAAATGGGCAGTCGAGCTCGGACAATTCGACATCAAATACACGCATTGTTCCTCCATCAAAGGCCAAGCACTCGTCGACTTTGTCTCTAAGTTCTGCAACGTCCCAACCGAGGAACTACAGAAAGAAATCCCATGAAAACTTTATGTCAACGGTTCATCCACCGGAGAACGATTTGGGGCAGGCATCGTATTAATCAGCCCTGAACATCGCATATTCTGCGAAGCCTTCCCATTTGACTTTAAAGCCTCAAACAATGAGGCTGGGTACGAAGTTCTCATTGCCGGAGCAAGGATGGCCTCAAGGTTGGGGATCTCGGGCCTAATCATACACAACAACTCCCAACTAGTCGTGAATCAGGTCAACGGTGTATATATGGCGAAAGAAGAAAGAATGGACAACTACCTATGAGTTGTAAAGAAAGAACTTGAAAGGTTCAACACCACCCAAGTCAAACAAATTTTTCGATCTCAGAATGGTCACGCCGACGCACTGCCTGCCTAGCCAACAGTGAGGGAATCGAAGAGTTCGATAGCATCTCCATGGGAAGAATATCCCTACCGTCCACCGAGCTGACTAAAGTGGTCCTTATGATAATAGGCCCCAAACCAACTTGGCAGGACGAGATCATTGCCTACCTAAAAATCGGGAAATGTCCCGAAAACTCTGCAGAGGCTAGAAAGCTCCGAATCAGGTCGGCCAGGTACACACTCATGGATGATGTACTATACAAACGGAGATATTCTACACCTTTGTTAAGGTGTTTAAACAAAGAAGAAGCTCAGCACGCCCTGCAAGATGTNGTGCTATGGTCTTATCGCACCACGGAAAGGACTAGCATGAGGGAACCCCGTTCTCACTGGCTTTTGGCGTAGAGATTGTGATCAGTTGCCCCACACTCAACATATTGTTTCTCAAATCAGGAATATAAAAGACATTTGAAATAGTTTCAATATTATCATTTTTTTGTCTTCATTTGAATATCACCCTTTCCCATAAACAGTGACTTGTGAATGATGACTACCAAAGCTTACGTTTGTTCGAAAATCTTGATTTGAATGAGAAAAGAAAGACTTGTTACCACACATATGATTGCTACATCCAGTGTTAACATACCATATGTTCAGTTCCAGCTTGTTGTCACTGACCTGAATAGCCATTAGTAAGGTTTCTTCTTCTTTCTTTTCTACAAAATTTGATTTATCCCATTTTTCTTTGTCATGAGGCAATTTGGTATAACATTCAGAACGGTAGTGGCCAAAGTTGTGACATCTGTAACACTCGATTTTGGATTTATCAACTTGCTGATTATGTTTTCTCCACTTGCCTTGAAATTTTGATTCATCTCGATGCCTCCAGCTTCCATTTCTTCGACTTCCTCCTCTACCTTGACCTCGACCTCTTCCCCTTGAACTTGAGGACCCAACATAAGTGGAGGCTTTTAAGCTTGCTCTTCTGTAGTGGTGCTTTGAGTAATCTTTTGTTCATGAATTATCAAAGAACTTTGAAGTTCATTGGGTGACAGAGAATCTATATCTTTAGATTCTTCAATCGAACAAACAACATAATTATACCTTGGAGCTAAAGAACGTAGAATCTTCTCAACAATGACTACATCTTCCATCTTTTCACCATGGAAACACATTTTGTTTGCTATTTCCATAGTTTTAGAATAGTAAGTAGTTACAGACTCATTATGTTTCATCTGTAGAGTTTCAAAATCTCTTCTTAAAGCTTGAAGCTGGGCACGCTTCACTGTCGACGAACCTTGATACTTTTTCTTCATTGAATTCCAAATTTGCTTGGAGGTTTCTTTGCTAAGAATTGTTCCCAAGATTGGACGATCAATTGCCTGAAACAAGTAGTTTTTTGCCTTCGAATCTTTAAGTTTCAGTCCTTCTAACTCTGCCTTCTGTGCTTCTGGCAAAACCATCCCAACTGCTTGTTCTGGTATCCCTGAATCAACCACCTGCCTGTACTACTTGGATCTTAAAAATTTTTCCATCAGCATGCTCTAGTGGTCATAATGACCATCAAAACGTGGAATTGCGGGTTGCATGAAACTTTCAGAGGCCATTATCTTCCAGTTGTTGCTGTGAATACAACGCACTGATTTGTTATTTTGGAAATAAGGCTGCTACCCCCCTTTTTTGGAATCTTGGACTCTCTACCTTATTGGTTTAAGACTCTTAACATCAATTTCTCTCCTCCTGTGGCTCTAATACCACTGTTAAAATAGAGAAAACAGGTACAAAAATCTTGTTACAGAAAGAGAACAAAATAGATGTAAAAATGAAGACTTTATCAGAGAATTTTTTTTTGTTTTTATTCATAATGTGATTGCCTTTATATAGGCATTACAACCAACAAACTTGATAGAAAAAGCAACAATTAACCAATCTATTGTTACTTGGGCCTAAAGAACAGGTAAATGATAACCAAACAGAGTAAAATCCTAAATAATAGGACAACTCATTATTATGCTAATAAAATAAAACTATCACAGATTTGCCGAAGTAGTAGTTGGTCGAATTGATGTTGATTAGAATTGAAGTGAGGAAGTAATATCTACAATTGAAGGAGCGGACGCGTATGTTTAAGGTTTTGGAAGAAACTAATGACAAAGAAAATCTGCTGCAAGCACAGAAAAAATTGAGAGTTGTTAGAAGACATATAACATTTTTTCATAGATTTTTCATTTTTGACACAATGAATTTAAAAATTGCACCTTATTGTCAATACTGTATCTATATTATTTCTATAAATAATTCTCCGTATTTATAGAATAATTCATGCACGATTTGATCTGAGAACTAAAGATTTTTCAGGTTATTTATCTAACGTCTCTAGTCTCGTGTTGACTTACTACGAATCTTTTATGACGTCCTTTATTTGCCTTTTAATGCACAACTTAAATTTGGATTGGAACCGTCAATAATTAACATGGCTGCTAATTTATGAAAGGTGAGGTTAATAGTATTAAGAAATACAAATCACCGTTTGCGACAAGAATTCTATTTTATCATCAATTCAATCCCCGTTTATATTTTTTTCTTTTTTCTTATCAATGAATAGATCTCTTTACTTGTATAACTTAGATGTCTCGTATTTCTCAAAATGGTGATTCGATTGATGAGATTTGGTATGAAAATCGATGAGATTGATACTTAAATATTTTTTCTTAAAATGTATTGATTTTAGGGACGAAACTGCAAGAAGCAGAACCTGTGTTTCTAGAGACTCTCCAATTGAAACATTATGTAAAGAACGCGGACTAGAGCTATAATTCACTCAAATAAAGTAGAGTAGACCACCGTGTTTTAGGTTTTTTCGCGTTTGGATTCTGTATCTATTCCAACTGAATCCCAACTCGGAGCATGGCCGGAAACTTTCTTCCGGCCGCCAAACTCACTGCGAGCGGCCGCCCAGTTCTGGACTCCGGCGAAGTGGAGTGTTCTCTCCTTTCCACTGTGGACCTCCACTCTGAAGACCTCTCGGCCTTTCCACTCCTGAAATCCGGTCTTCTCATACTCACGACTCACCGTCTACTCTGGCTCTCGTCAGATTCCAACACTCCCACTGCTGTATATATACCCCTCTCCACAATTCAGCACATTTTCTCCACCAAAAAATCGATCAAGTCCATGTTCCACAGCCCAAGAATCCGATTCCAGGTTTCGACCACTCCGGAGGGACATGTCTCGGAAAAGGGACTGAAATCTTTGGTGATCACGTTGATATTGAGGGGCAAGACGGACATCGATTCGTTTTTGGGGAAATTTTGGGACGCCTGGAGAGGGCGGGCCTGGGAGACGAGTGGGTCCGCTACTGAGTCGGGACTAGGGTCTGGATCGGGGGAAGGTTCGGAGTCGCTGGCTTTGAAAGTGCCTGTGGTCGGAGTGTCAGGGATTTTGAGGAAGGAGCAGGAGATGTGGGAGAGTACTGACAAGAGCTTGCAGGATGCCTTTCAGGATTTGAATGCTCTCATGGTATGTAAAAATGTTATAATTTCCCAATTATCGAATTTAGCATTTGACTTTAGCAGATAATCAGCTGAGCCTCCGTGTTTGGTGTTAGTTTTGGAACATAGGGTGAGAAAATTGACAAATTAAGGAAGAAATGGTAAATTTTGGGTTTTGCACTTTTGCTTATCTTCATCTCAAGTGAAATGTTGTTTTCTAATCTTGATAGGAGGTACAAGGATTGATGCAACGTGCTGGTTGCTTTTTATTGATTCTTCCATTCTAAATTATCACCAGAACATTTTTATACACCATTTTATTGTGAATTATTCAAACGCTTTACATTGCATGGCCCAATGCTTAGTATTTTTGCGAACAACTCAGCTATCAGTGATGGATTGAGTGTTCTGAAACAGCCTTGGAAATGTCAAAAATATAACTCTTTTGAATTGGTATATGTATATACAACCTATTAACGTGTATGGAAACTAAAAGATGGTGTTTGATGGTTTACAAGAGGGTCTGTTAGCATAGAACGGAGAACAGACCTGTCCTCTTATACTGTGGTTTCTTCTTGTTTTTCCGCCTATGAATCTTCTGCTTTTATATTTATTAACAATAGAGCAAAGCTAAGGAGATGGTTGTGCTAGCTGAGAGGATGAGGTTAAAGCTACTGTCAGGCTCTAATAATCAGACTGGTGAAACAAACGATGATGACATGGGTACCAAAGAAGAGATGCAAGATTGGTTATTAAGTGTTGGTATTGCTTCTCCAGTTACGAAAGAGTCTGCCGGGGCTTTGTATCACCAGCAGTTATCTCGTCAGGTACATGCTTATTTTGTGGTCTCTGTTATTTTACTTATTATGTCTAAATTATACCCACCAATCTGAACCCGGATATTGAACACTGCAAGTGCATCTATTTGCACATGAGCATTTTTATATCAAACCAATGAACAGTGCAAGTACTTTAAAAGGACTTACATGTTAACTTAGCTGCAGGCAAGACAAGGTTGCAGTAACGAGCTTCTTGCCAACTGAGCATAAGCAAGGCTTAAAGACTACAGTTAGCAAACTCTGTTTGACTATTAATATGGGGGTGAAAACCCTGTGAATATTTCTAAGTAATACATAACAATTCTAGAGTGTTATTCAAAGGTAACTAATAAGTTTCCTGTCAAACACAGAAAGGATTTTCTTGAAAGTATTTGAAGGGAGTAGCCAATGCAAGTGGCGAAGTTCTTGAAAAACCAATTTAGCAACACAGAAAGGATTAATATATTTGGAACATAGGGTGACTAGAAATATATTCACTAATACTAAATACTATCATGATCTGGAACAGTTCTTAGCAACTCTAGGAGGAAGTCCATGTTCAGATCACACTAAGAGATCCGTGGGATAGAAATTGGAGAAGATAACTCACTGTTCTGTTCTTAGTTGTAATTAATTAACAGTATGACATTGTGAGACAATGTGAGCATCATCCCTTTTCAGGGAAGGTGCATAAGACTTATCTTCCATTAGGATTATGGTCTTATCCATGCTAAAACGTCCAAATAGGCTTTCAACATGCTATTCCCTTAAAACTTTACAAGAAACCTAAGTATGAGGAATGGTTAATTTAGTTCCCTTGAAAAGATAATCATTCCTAAAGTTTGAATGACTTATATTTGGGCTATTTAAGAGGTCTTTAAAAATGACAAAATCTCTGGACAATTACGATACTAATCCTTAATTCTCGCAAACCTACCACTTTATTGTTCACATTGAGGATGAAAGTGGCAACACGGCTAAGGGCACCCACAACTTTTTTCCTTAGGACAGCATTACCCAAAGAACAAATGTGTACTGTTGAGGAAACTCAAGAACAAATGTTGGTGTGACTGTGTTTGTATCTATGCTTCATGGTTTGGGATAATAATGCTCCAAAATCAAGGGAAAAAGTTTTATTTTTGTCTTATTCCTTTTCCTTTATGCCATCAGATTTCCCTTTGGTACTGAGATGAGTAAAGTTGCGTAAGCTTTAATTTTTAGCCTCATAAATAGCTAGCACAATTGCCATGTACATTACTTGATCAGTCAAAAATAAATAAATAAACAGTGAAATGAGGTAGAAAGAATTTTCCTCTTCTAATTTTCATCTTTTATTGACAGAGATAGTTTCTGCTGGTGATGTTATTTTTTGTTATTTGACTTGGGGAAGTTCTTACATTGGCTATTTGTGACTCAGTATCCATTGGTTCTTAGTTGGCAGATTTTGTCAAGAAACCACTAGAGAGAGCTGGAGGAATGATTAATCTGATAGATATTTATTGCCTATTTAATCGAGCCCGTGGCACAGGTTTTTTGTGATTTATCTATCCTATCTTTCCTTCTTCCCCCTCCACATTTGTTTTGCTGGAAATTTATGCTTTTATATTTGTGTTACTACTTCTTGCTTAGATATTATGACAGCATTGTGTTCTTGTACAGAATTGATCTCACCTGATGATTTGCGACAAGCTTGTTCTCTATGGGAAAAATTTGACACGTGAGTACTATGTCACATTGAAGTCAATCCACTAGTGTGATAGTGAAGGGAGATTATTATAACACTTAATGTAACTCTCAATCATCTGTTGTTTTTGTGAACTTGTCACAAATCCTGCACTACAGCGTTTATAATTTTAATTTTTCTCTTTGAACAGCCCAGTAATGCTTCGGAAATTTGATAGCGGTGTCATGGTCATCCAGAATAAGACCCACAGTGACGATGAGGTTATTTCCTTATATTAAATGGTTTAAGATGTATATTCATGTTTCGTTTACAGTCGTGGGTACTTTCATAATTTAAGATCAACCAGAAACAAATAGAACAATAATTTATAGATGACAGAATATGCAAGGTTACACCTTCAATATTTTATCTTTGATGAGTAAAAGATCTGAAGGAAAGAAATAGATAAAAAGAAACATTTTTGAAGAACTTCACAAGTCAAACCAGCAAATAAAACAAAGATTGAAGTACAGTATCCACGACATGTGCAAAGCACATTTCTTTGAGTAATTAAATATTGATTTTCTTTGGATCTCTTGATTTTTGAAATGGTAATGTTTTAAGCATGTGCAGTTTTGTTTGCATTTTTTTAATAGAAACTTCTCTCGCACTGTTTTAATTCCTGAAAAGAAATTAGTCAGGATCTGCTTTGGACATGTAGGTATTTTCTAGGATCAGGTCCTTGGTATTGAAGCCTGATGCTACACGAACTGGGATCAGTGCCAGTGATGCAGCGATGACTCTCGGGGTTGCTCCTGCTATGGCTAAGGAGTATCTCCTTGCAGCTGAAGGAAAAGGTACATCCTTCAGCATCATTTTGTAGAAGCTCCTAAAATATTGGAGAACCTACTCTTAAGTTCTGTTTGCAGGATTTCTGTGCCGAGATGTTAGCTCTGATGGTTTTCGCTTTTACATCAATTTGTTTCCTGAAATCAGTCCAGATGATAGATACTTGTAAGTGGAGAATCATGTCATTCACTCTATTTTCTTGCTTCACTATGTTGCACCTGGTTTTCATTTTCATTTTTGTTGAGAAACTCTCTTAGCCTACCCATGCATTTCCGCTGTGTTTTTCATTTTCATTCCCCGCTTTTTGGATAATAAGGAATTAATCATTTCTCACTTCCCATTGCATAATGCCCCTAATTGAGTTTTCACCTTTTTAAAAAGCTGACATATACGACCCGAGGAAGCTCCCAATCACTAAAGTGACATGTATATATAAAACATGTTGGAAGAGAAAAATTAAGATTAAATAATGACTGGACGTGATTGGGCAAGGAATTGGATGGTATTCAATTTCAGCCAACGTAGTGATATGTCAAATTGAGTTCCATATGCCCTATGCTAAGGGTGGCAAATAATCTGGGTTGGTGGGATTAGAAACTGAACTCAATTCTCCAGTAAAATGCACCTGATGCTAGAGTTCAGAGAGGTACTCACACCAAAAAGGAAGGCTACACAATCATCAATAAAATCAACTGATACAGTTCTCGTGGAAGTCACACTTGTTAAACTAATCGAACAAAAACAAGCGAATCAGTTCTTTACCATCTTTACTAATTTGTTTGAGTTTTTCAAAGCAAATGAAGCATCCAGACCAATGAACTTGCTTTATGTGTGTACTCGTTATTTAATCACAGTGTATGTTATAAAATGAAATATCAATGTTATATTAGGGGTGAATATCATCTCTCTTTTTGCTTGTGTATTTCAGTCGGCGCTTAGCATGAGCCCGTTTGGTATTAGGCTTTCTCATTGGCCCCCTTTTCAATTGTTAGGAGTCCAGTTGCTCATTGTTAGCAAATTTAGATGATACTTATCTATCATGAATAATTTGCCTCGAATCTTTTTAATCCTTTACAATTTGTTCAAGTCACGCCCTTTGTTCAAATATTTTGTCATAGTTTTGAATTCTACTCGTGCAGCGTGAAAGATCATGGTATCTACAGTATGTGGATCAGTGCCGTCTCTTTCAGGTAAAGTATCAGTTTACTTATTGGTAGGTAAGAATTTACTTTCCCTTATTTTGCATATGAAAGTGAATCAGAATGTTCTGTAACGAGTATCAGTTGTCGGAAAATAAGATTTCTGTTCTGAAACAATTTTTTATTTCAGTTAAGGTTGGCTTTTTTCACTGACTGTAAAGAGGTTGGCAAGAGCATTTTCTGGACAATGACAGTGGATTTTATGGAAAACAAGCTTCCCTCGGGTTGTCAAATTTACTCGGAAGCATGCAAGATACCAGAGCTTTTCTTTTTCTTATAATGGAATGGGGGTGGGCAAATTTTGTGTTTTGTATCTTCACTTTCAGGGGGTCAAAAGAAAAATGACTCTTCATATAGAAACTGGAGCCTAATCCATCATTGTAAAAATTTTAATATGGTAAATTATTTGTTGTCGTGCGACTATAAAATTGAAATTTGCTTTGATAAATGATGATGAATTTTACGCATACTACTTAGGCTCACTTTTTCCCTTTCTCAAGTGGGATTTACGAATTATTGTGCAAAACTGAAGGTAGTTCTTTAAGAAAGTGTTTTACATGCCTTCTTGGAGATTCCCACATCTAATCAGTTCGTACGATTCCCACGCCTACGCTTCGAAGATTTTGTGGCAAAGTAATTTGAGCGAAGTTCTTGTATTCAAGCTCCGTCCCATCGCCCAGAAGAAAAAGAAGATGAATCAGTTGAAGTATGTAATTTTTCTTAGTCTCCGTTTGTTTCTCATTTTTGGAAGAATGATAATGAAAAATATAATCGTTACGGGTTCCACAAAAGAGATAGAAATTCAAATTTGGTGGCTTGATGTAATGGATAACCGTCATATTTTTCATTTTAATGAGGAAAGAATGAGAACCAAACATGGGCTTAGTAACTCTTGGTTTCTCGCAGCTTACTTCTAATCGAAAATGTTCCTTTAGTTAGGCTTCTATGGGTTGGGTACACGGATAATCTTAATCTTTATCGCTCAGCTAGGCTTCGTTTCAGTTGTCAAATAAATTCTCTTCAATTCCCGCAGGTAGAAGTCTTATATCTTAGTGACCAAACCCTCGTTGGAGTGGTGTTCATGGAATACTTTCACCTCATTTTGACTCTAAATAATTATCCGTTCATAATCCATTATTGCTTAATTTGGATGTTTACTGAAGTCATTGTTGATTATTTTTCATTCTTTATTGTTGACTCGCGCATTTATTGTAGTGGCATGGAGTGATGTTATTTTTCAGTAACTAAGAAACATTGAAAAGTCAAAAAGTAACTTTAAAATAAAAATGTAAAATTTAATTAGTTTCCATTTAGCCCCCGTTTGGCTCTATTACATTTTATTACATTCAATTTTTCTCTCTTCTATTTTTAACTACACAATTTTCCGTAAAATATTATATTACATGTAAATCGAAAACTTTTCTAATCTCTACGGAATCTACTGACAATTTAACCACTTCTTCACCTACAAAGCTATAATTTAATAAATTCTCTTGGGTTTTTTTTATTTTATTTTTACTTTTCATTGTATTTAAATTTCTAGAGAGAGAAAGATATTCCAAGAAAACCAGTGAGCTGAACCAAGGCAATTGGTGGCATGCCTGTGATTTGAGCCTTTTGGCCAAGTGTTCACTTCTTGATTTACTATGGTTTAATTACCCCAACTTTAACATTACCCTAGGTCTAACATAAACCCTTTACATATAAATAAACTCCACAAAGTAAAGATAAGTATTCCCATATTTATTACATGCTAGGCATGTTTGACTAGACAAAAGCAATATAGACGGGCTCGCACGAGATATTTGTGGAAGCTCGGATGAAAATAATACAGAGATGCATACAGATTTGCTTATTACGTTGTCCGATAATTAATTTTCAGTCCAACACACCGAATATTCTCTTTAATATTTTAATGAATTTAGTTACATCGTTAATAGTGTCTAATATTGCAAACTAAAAACGAATATATCCTCCTTTTCCTTTCTAATATAAACACTAAACCAAAGCTATTAATTCTTGCCCTCCCACACACACACTTAATTGGGTAAACAACTCTAGTTGACCAGAAAACAAGCCTTTTTCTGTTGATTCTACACCAACCCACCCATCTCTCTCTCTAAGCACAAACATTTTCTACTGTGTCATTGCACTCTACACACACACACACAGAGAGAGAGAGAGAGAGAGAGAGCTTCAAATATGAAGAGGCCCCCTCCTCCTCCTCCTCCTCCTCCACCACTTTCTTATTCGTCTTCTTCTTCATCTTCTTCTTGCATCAATTCACCAAAAACCCAAAAAAAGTTAAAGCCTAAACGTATCAGAGCCAAGAAAATTCAGAATGCTGCTGCTGATTCTGTTGTTTCTACTAAATCAAGAAGCTCCATTTTCAGAGGTGTCACCAGGTAATTCAATTTTTATATATACACCTATACATACACTTGAACAGATGGAATAAACTGAATTTTTCTCTTGCATGCAAGTAATTATTTTTATAGTCATCTTTGATTTCTGAAAATAAAAATTTAATTTTTTGCAGGCACAGATGGACAGGAAGGTTTGAAGCACACTTGTGGGATAAGAGTATATGGAACAGCATTCAGAACAAGAAAGGAAAACAAAGTTAACATCTTTATTTATTTATTTATTTTTTCCCTTTTTTTGAATTAATAATAAAAAATTCAAGTGAAATCAAGGAGATCTGTGATCTTAGTTTTTTAATTTATAATCCTAGTTTAATTATTAATCATATCTTTTACAGTAATTAATTATGTCATTTGTCACTGAATTCTTGTTTTTCTGACTGTATGACTGTTGTGTTCTTGATGATGATCGCTGTCCGCGCATTTGTCGCTTCACAGTCTATTTGGGTGAGTTCAAAAGTTGCTTATATTAATTTTCTGTTCTACTTTTGATTTTGTGTGTTTTTTATTATTTAAATCTCTGTGCATGCAGAACTTTAGTCAAGAAATTTTAATCAATTATAATTGGTGTTTAATTGTTTATGTTATTTTAATATAGGTGCCTACGACAACGAGGAATCTGCAGGTCGAACATATGATCTAGCTGCCCTCAAGTATTGGGGTCCCGGTACTCCCCTGAATTTTCCGGTAACCGACTTGATTCATCAATCATATGTTATCGAGTGTTTTATTTGAATTGACATCTGGCATTCGTTATTTCGTTCATTGTGTTTGAATGCACGAATGGGAATTTATTGCATTCTCAATGTTACATGTGAGTCGCACTCTTCTATTCAAGGGATCACGTGCATCAAGTGTTCCTTTAACGGGTTTTAATGAACATTCGATGACAATGCAGCTTGAGATGTACTCAATCGAAATTGAGGAAATGCAAAGATTGACAAAGGAAGAGTACTTGGCGTCGCTTCGACGACAAAGTAGCGGATTTTCGAGAGGTGTCTCTAAGTACCGTGGTGTGGCAAGGTAACAAAATGTTTCATGTGAATTTTGTATTCAAGTACAATTAGACTCATAGTAAATCTCGTGTTTTTTTTTTTTT